TTCTCTCCTTTGTGAAAAATGAGGGGTAGACCAGATGGGTTTTTCTTTTCCTATCCTAAAATTTTCTCTTCTACACCCAGAGCACAGTTGATTGCTTTGAGAGTGGATTTTTATCAGAAACAGAATAACGTCTTGCTAGTTGCTCTTACCCTCTCACAAGGAGTAATACTGGAATGGAAAGGCAGGTGGAAGTGCTAGCAGGGCCTCAGTACTGTTAGGGTGGTTAAGCAAGCAGGTGAGAGATCGGTAGGACTAAGGGGCATTTTAAAAGTGAGGGAGTGTCTGCATGGACGCTGGTTATACTTTAGCAAAAATTAAAAAGGAGGTGAACCCTGAAACGGTTGCCCTGAGACCATCATTACGCCTTAAACCAAAAATCTCCCCTGATGTCTTCCTAAAACTGAACCATAGTGCGTTAACTAACAGCCTGCCTCGTCCCTTGTGTCTCCTTTAGGTTCTGTCTGTGGGGTCAAACAGACAACGGCCTCCAGAAGCCTAGAACTACCAACCAGTGGGTCTGTAAGCCAAAACCAAACTTGCAGTCAAGTTGATGCTGACTCATATCGACCCTATAGGCCAGGGTAGCACTGCCCCTGTGGGTTTCCAAGACCAACTGTTTATAGGGCTAGAAAGCCTCATCGTTCTCCCTCGTAGCTCCTGGTGGTTTCGAACTGCCAACCTTGTGGTAACGCAGCCCCATGCTTAATCCACTGTGCCACCAGAGTCCCTCAGTAGATGACCGCAAAACCATTTCCAGTACCTGGGCTTCCTTCTGGCCCAAAGGGACCTTCGTGGACAGTTCACATAGAGTGTTAATAGACGAGGTACCAGATTAGGGTACGAATGGTTGCCGAGCTCAGAGAATGTTGTTAGTGCCATTTAGAAACTGTCGAATTGGTGATGTGTGTGTTGAGGTGTATGGACACATTTAAAGAGGTGGGATATCGTGCATGCTTTCAAAGGCAGGGAAGGATGTCCACTAGACTGATGTGAGGGCCACCTTTACAGTTTTCTTATCCTGCTTTTAAAAAATATCTCCAGCGAATATGTTTACTCATAAAGCTGGGAAGCATGTATTCCCGCATGTATCCGGGGGAAAGCAACATGTAGCTGCAGCTGGCTCGTGGAGGCGTCCTTGAGAGCGTCCACCCCTTCCCACAGTGAATGGGCAGGTCTGGACTTCTGCTGGAAATGGAGCCATTTCAAAGCAGAAACGAAAGAGAACCTTGGAGTGTAATTGCTGAGAAAGAAGCAGTTGATGATGAGCTGATGCCAGTGTTGCTAGGTCTTCCTACACGGTGGCTAAATCTCTAAAGTTCCAGCCCCGTTCCAGCTGCCATTCCAGCTTACGGCAGCTTTGCACCGGACTTTGAAGTTGTGTACGTAGCAATACCAGGTGGCACAGCTGCTCCCAGGCCTGTGGCTACTTGGGCAGGTGGCAGTGAGAAACAGCCAAGAGGAAATTGAAGAATCGGTGGGGCTCCTTAGATTTAGTGGGGTGTGTGGGCCCTTTGATGACACATGGTGCCTCAGATCAGAAGTCCTGGCTTTGACTGATAGGTAATGGTGACAGTACCCGGTTCATCACTGAGTCCCAAGGTTCTTAACGTCTGTCTGAGTTATTAACCTTTTGGTGTACAAGTTGGGTCATTTTACAGTCATACCTCTTGTCTTGGGCATCCTCACGTGAGCACCTTCTTTTCAGCCACTGTACCCTCTAGTTTCCTTCCGGAAACAGAGGACAAGCAAGCAAGCAAACAAGGCCTAGGACATTTTGCCCTTGTTTCAAATCACTCTCTACAGTTGCACATTAGTGAGTCTGTGTAAATGATTGCTGGTTAGCCAAAATGTCATAAGAAAAAACAATGGCAGGTACACACTTGAACTTCAGGTGGTAAAAGGTCCTTTTGACCTGATGGGGCGGGTGGGGGTGGGAGGGTGGAGGGAGCAGGTGTGAGAATGAAACCCCACTGAAGCATCCTTATATTCCTCAAACAGTCCTTGGGACGTGAAATTGGGGATGCACGTGTGTGTTTAAAATGTCACTGTTCTCCCCCGCACTTCTCTAGACTGCACCACTTACCTGAACCCAGTGGGGAAGCACCTGATTGCTGACGCCCAGAACATCACCATCAGTCAGTACGCCTGCCACGACCAGGTGGCTGTCACCATCCTTTGGTCTCCAGGGGCCCTCGGTAAGTGGTCAGGAATGGAGTCCACCCCCCATGGTGGCCTCAGTGCGTGGTGTGCGGGTTTCACACTGCTGACCTTCAGGACCCCGGCCAGTCTTTGAGAGAAGCTTGGGCCGGGGGCACAGGACACACAGCTGGGTGCCGCTGTCCCACTCTTCTTGTTTCTTGATTCCTTGACTGCTCTTGAGAGAAAACTGGGTGTGAATTATAGTGGTGTGCCAATGACATGACACTGGGCCCTTGTCCGGCCTCGGGTGGGGGTGGGGGGCCTGTGTGTGTGTGTGTGTGTGGTGGGGCATAATCTGGGAAACACGTGGCCACCCCAAGTGCAGTGGCTTTTTGACAGCAGCAGTAGTGGTCTCTGTGGCCACACTGAAGTGGAGACCCATTGTTGGCGCATTCCAGGATTTTTCATGCGAAATCAGCCAATTTTTAAATGTTGCCAACTAGTTGGGAACTTTTAAGAACTGTGTGGCCCATAAGCAAACCTAACCCAAACAGACTCGCTGCCATTGAGTCGATGCCCACTCAGAGTGGCCCCATAGCGCAGGACAGAGCTGCCCCTGTTGGGTTCCAAGACTGCAACTGTCTATGGGAGTAGAAAGCCCGGTCTTTCTCCTGTGAGTAACTTGATGGTTTCGAACGACAGGCCTTGCAGTCAGCAGCCCAATGCATAACCACTACCTACACCAGGGTTCCCAACCAAACAGAGATGTCGGTGAAAGCAAACTGGAGCTATCTGGCCCATCTAGCTTCTGGCGGAGTCTCTCCTCTAGTTGATTTGAGGGGAGGAAGGAAGAGACAGGTGGGTCAGTTTTGGGGTTAAGATTGGCTCTATTTGCACTCACACTCCACTTTTGGCAAAAAATTTCTATGCCTCTCCAAACCCGTTTCCCCATCTGTAAAATGGGGATCGTAACGGCGTCTTGGTTTGGTGTAAGAATTGGAGACAACACCCACAGAGCCCATATCTAGCGAGAGAGAGAGAGAGTGCTTCAATACTGTCTTCACTGCCATCGTCAGAACCAGGCGCTCGGGCCTGTGCCTTAGATGTTGCCATCCAACCAGAGAATATTTTTAAAAAGCTGGTCAACCAAGAAGTAAATAAAGCCTGAATTTGTTAGCCTGCTGCAGGAGAGATGGGTGATGGAGCAGGACTTGACTGTTCTACCTAATAAATACCGCTGGCTCCGAACCCAGTGGGCTTTCCAAAAGTAATATTATCTTAACATTTAAGAGTTAGAACACTCTCCCTGGACCGAAAGGAAGTGGTCATCGCACAGAAAGCGAAACGTTGAAGGAGGCTGGCTTGAAGGATCGCAGATTCCCTCCTGCGTTGGGTTTCCTAGAGCAGCTGTGGCAGAAATGCCACCAGTGGGTGAGCTTGAAAACCAGTGTGATGCTGTCACAGTGCAGGAGGCACTTGCTGTTAGTAGGTGTCGTCCCATCAGGGTCGTCTCATAGACCTGCCCCATAGCGTTCCCAAGGCTCCCCATCTTCATGAGAAGGAGCTTTGGTGTTGCTGTCGCTTAGGTGTTGGGCTACTTGCTAACTGTGAGGTTGGTGATTCAAAACTCACTGGTGGCTCTGCGGGAGCAAGATGAGGCTGGCTGCTCCTGTGATGGCTTAGAGATTCAGAAACCTGTCTAGCGTCACTATGAGTTGCAATCCCCTTGGGAGCAACAGGCTGAATCTTTATGGGAGCAGATCTTCCAGGTCTTTTCTTGCAGGTAGCCACTGGGGGAGTTCAACGGCCCACCTTTCTGTGAGCAGCCACATTCAGAGGGTAGCTCTGGTGCAGGTCTTCCGTCCTCAGTTGTGCAGAACTTTGTAGAGCTGGAAAGGGTGCCAGGGTACGTGTAATTGGCCGGCATTCC